CCCCGGGCTCCCACCCTCGCACGATTATCATATCAATTACTGTGGAGCCGCTTGTCTGGGCTCTGCATCGATCTCGGCTCCTCTTGGCAGACGAGCAACAACCTCATCCTGCCCAGCTTTCATTATTTTCATCCCCTCTCCTCCCCAGCCCTGAAATTAGAAGCAGCATCTCATGCCAGCATCCTCCCCTGCAACCCCCTGTGCACCCACAAGCATCCCATGGTAGCACTTGTCCTCCCCCACATCCCCACGAGCCCAGTCCTACCTTGGAGCTGCACTTTGTTCTCAGGGCTCTGCACCAGGACAGAGCTCACCGAGTCCAGGTTGTCATAGTTGCTGCAGCCGAGCGGCCCTGTCCGTGTTTCTGTCACCTGAGGTGGGGACACGCAGGTGGTCAGGGATACAGGAGGGGACACAGGGTACGCTACCCCGCCGAGAGTGCAGCAGATAATCCCTGACCCCGCTGGCCAAGCCCATAGCCCTCATAGCAGGGCGACGGTCGGGAGAGGAGAACTAATTATCTGCTAATTAGCTTGTTGACAGGCGGCAGCCCTGCCTGCAGCCCGCTGAAAAATGTGCCTTTATTAGCGTGCCCAATTTCCCATAAATAATGGGAACGTGTTAAGTTTCCCTGCTCTCTCTCCTCTCTGGGTGATGCTGTTTCGGGTCCGGCCAGCTGCGAGGGGCCGTGGTGAGGATGCTGTGTCCCTGGCCGCCCCCCTGCCTACCTTGATGGCAGCCGTGGCGATCTGGATGTGGTGCAGCCGGCGCAGGGTGCTCTCCCGGTCGATGAAGTAGGAGGCTGCCAGCTGGTGCAGGGTCTCCAGCGAGACCCCCGAGCTGTTCCCAGCCCCCCCCGCAGGCTCTGCCCTCCGGCTCAGCTTGCGCTTGTCCACAAAAATGGTCAGGGACTCCTCTCCTGGGGGGACACGCGATACTTTGGAGAGGCTGCTGGGCTCCCCCCATTCCCTTTCTTGGCCGTGTTTCTCCCGCAGTGCTTCTCTTCCCACTCTCCCTCCTGCGCACAGTCCCTGTGCAAAGGGGGGTGAGCAGGGTGAGCACCCCCAGCACTCACCTCCCAGCGTGGCAGCCAGCAAGAAGTGTGTCCCATACTTTTTGATGAGGCTGTCGGTGATCTGCTGGGGGCTGGGCCGACGCCCCAGCAGTCGGATGTTGCGGATGAATTCAGGGGCCAGGGGAAGCGGAAGGCTGAAGAAATCTTTCCTCTCCAAGGCCAAATTATTCACCTTCCAACGAGCAAACTCTCTGTGGGAGGAGAGCAGCAGCGGGGAGAGGGTGTGAAGTGGGTCTGGCCACGGCACACGGATGCACTCCTTCCTTTTGTCCCCAGTTTCCAGCTCAGGACAGGTGGAAAACTCTGGTTAGAAACATCCCGACCTCCTCCACTTCCCCGGAAGTGCAGGACCGGCTGCAGACACTTGCCAGCTATGGATCCGGCCAGGACAAAAGCACCGTCCCTCCCTAAGCCATTGATGGTGATAAAGAGCTACAAGCAGCGGAGATGCCTGATATTGATTAATCCAGCACCTCCAGAAGGCATTAATCACAGCCCAGGGCAGGGCTAGACCCTTTTCCAGCCCGTTGGGCTGGTTGGATCTCATCTCTCCTCCAGCCCTGTGCCTATGGATCCAAATGAAAATCCAGCATCTGGGGGTATCATGCTTTTAAATATCAGCAGCACTATTTTGTGGGAAGCTGGAGGTGCGTCCAGATGGGCTGTGAATGTGCCCCCCTGGCCTTGCCCAGCCCTAGGGAGCAGCTGCCTAGCCTGTCACCGCATCCAAAACCCCATGGCCTTGTAAACAACCGGCAGCAAATTTCAGCCTAATCTTTGGCATTTTGCTCTAATTAAAACCAGGCGGTGCCTTTCAGTAAGCTTTACCAAGGCTGGATGGGAAAAGAGGGAGAGGGAGGGGTGGATGGGGGCAAAGCAGCAGCTGCTGGGCTTGGCAGATGACAAGTTGCCTACCACCATGACTTTTGGGCCCAGAAGATGGGTTGCAGGGGCCAGTTGCAGAGCTGAGGATGAGGCAGGGAAGATGCTGCCTCTCCCCTTGCACACACACTCCCTAGGGGCTGGGGTGCCGATCTCCCCTGCTTCCATCCCAGAGGCAAAGCAAGCCCCGAAGGCTGATAGTAGGTTCTCTGCCTCCAGGGAGGTGTGAGCCAGCAGCTGTCCCTCTGGCTGCTCCTTCCTGTCCCACCACCGTCACCAGCAGCATCCCTGGAGGATGCAGGTCCCTCGGCATGGCAGCGTCAGCACACAGGAAAGAGGAGAGGAGCTCCCTAGGGGTGCCGGGCTGCATAACAAAGCTGCAATCCCGGCACCCACGTCAGCATTCCCGAGAGGCCTTGGCCAGGATTTGCTCCGCTGCTGAATCCCCCCAGGGCTCAGCATCCCTGGGGAGTGAAAGGGAAAAGGGCTCATTAGCCAGAGGTGACAGCCCCAATTAGGTGCAGGAGGCTGTGGAGTGGAGTGGGTTTCCCACAGAGGCTGTCACGGGTGGCCCTTTGCTGTGGTGAGTGGCCCCACTGCTGGCAAACCTGTTTTTCTGCTGGCAAGAAACCCCTCCAGCCTCGGCCCCCATTCATATAGCATCCCACTGCAGCAGTCCGTGGGCTGATGGCTCTGGGGACATGCCAGAGGGTCAGTCAGGGTGGCTCTTCTTGAGCCCCAGCAGCATCCCAGCTCCAGAGTACTGCCAGTCTAGGCAGCTTCAGTAATTTGGCAGAGAGATGTCTTTGTGCACAGAAAACGGACAAAAGAGCATCTTTGTCCGAAGGGCCTGGGAGGTGGACACCACACACACACTGCCCCTTCTGCTGTCCCCAGTTTCCACCTCTGGGCAGGAGATCCATAGGTAGAAGATGTCCAAAGGGACTGGAGTACACATGAACCCATCCAGCCCAGTGGGCTCTCCTGCCATAAGGGCTGATTCCATCTCAACCTGTGCACCAAATCCCTCCCAGCTCAGGGCAAATCCTGCCTGGAGCCCAGCCTGGCCACACCATGAGCATCCTTGTTGGGGCTGCTATTATATTCCCTGGAAAAGCAGCATCTCACATCCACCCACCCACTGTCTGTCCCAATGGACAGCCCCCTCCTGCACCTGGGGGTCTGCTCATGTGGATTAGAGAGGGTCTGCCTCCCCTTTGCCATGCCTCCATAGCCCCCCACCCCTCAGCCCCCTCTCGGGTTGCCCACAGCCTCTCACCTGTAGATCCTGTACCTGGTGGTGAAACCCTGCCGGTAGCGCTCCATGAAGTCCACGTACTCCTGAGCTCGGTAGAAGGGTCCCCGGTCGGTGAGGAGCCAGTCGAGGGGCGCCCGGACGGAGGGAGAGGAGGATGAGGAGGAAGAGGAGGGGGTCGCAGGGGCTGCATGGCCCTGGGGCACGGTGCTGCCTGCCCCGCCGGCCACTCCCCAGCGGCAGCAGGCGCTCAGGGCCAGCAGGGCCAGCGGGAGCATCGGCGGGGGCCCGTCAGCACGTGGGAGGTCCTGCCGCCCCATCCTGCTGCTGCCCGGCCGGCTTCTTCATTCTCTCACCCCGCGGCGATCCTCCGGGACAGCCCCGTCCTGCAACGTGAGCACAGCGGCTGGATACAAACCAGGAGAGACCACAGCCTTTGGAATGCTTGTCGGGATGCTGACAGAGGGAAAGCGACGCTCCCGGGAGAGCCAGGCATGGACTGGTCATGCCACAGGAAATAAGAGTTTATGGGTTGGGGGTGCTGGGTGCTGCTGAAGTTAAATGAAATCCTGGCTGATGGCTGTTTGAGGAATTTCTGGCTTTTTCTTTATGTTTTTCTCTGCAGTACATCAGCCTGTCAAGCTGAGCTTGCTGCTGTGGGGATGGTGGGGAGGACTGCCTCTGCACCCTGCATTGTGGGGATGCATGGCAGGAGCATGTGCAGCTCATTTCAGGTGGGGCTAAAAATAATAATCATGGGGAGCTGGGAAAATGAGCTTCTCCAGGTATGGGCTGGATCACGTGTGGTTCATGTTAGACTTTTCTTTGTGTTCTGCTGATGGATGGATGGATGGATGGATGGATGGATGGATGGATGGATGGATGGATGGATCTCCACTCCAAGGTTGGCTAGGCTGATGGAAGTAGTGTTTTGAGTGCAAAGTAAAGATGGAGCTTTTCTGGCAGCAGCAACCACAAGGCCAGAGCCTGAATTTGCCAGTGCAAGTGGGAGATGGGGAGCTGCAAGGTCTGGCCAAGGCCAGGTGTGCTGTGAGGCAACAACAGCTGTTTGCCTCAAAACAGGGACCCCACTGCTGCAGTACTGCCAGGGAAGATGGTTTTTACACCAGGAGGGAAGATGGTTTTTATTCCAGGAAGGCAGCTGGAGCCCAAATGCCCATCCCTGCTGAGCTCACACCAACCCTGCGTTCTCTCAAACAGGGCTTTGCTGGATGAATCATCATGCTTTAACATGTAATAATATGTTTTTTCAATTTTTTTGCTCCATCTCTTCTATTTTTAAACCCTTAAGGGTGGCCTTTGATTACACTTTCTCAGCTTCTCACTCAGCCCTCAAGGCTGGGGCCCTGTGAATTTTAAACAAAAGCTGAGACTTTCACATCACCAGACCCGGGTGCCAGGGCAGTGGGGTGGGCAGGAGCAGCAGGCAGGGCTTATTCTGTTCCCCCACACTCCTTTTTCACGTCTCACCCTGGTTTCTCCCAGCCTGGCAGGCAGCCACATAACAGCCCTGTCACTGCCTTTTGCTCCTGGCACGTGGAGTCCCCCACGGCCACGATGTGACCAAATCCTGGCCCAAACCTGTCCCATGCTGGGGTGGGGAGCAGGCAATGCCAGGCTGGTTTCCTCACTCTGTGCCCCAAGTGTTGGAGGGGGAATCTGTCACCCCCAAAACACAGCGGGATCCGATGCCAGATTCCGGCTGCCCCGTAATCCTCCCTGCCTGCAACCAAAGCTGCGCCGAGGGGAAGCAGGCCCAAAGGGATCCTCAAAGCTCAAGATTCAGCCCCGCCAGGTCCAGCCTGCAGCCATGGGTTCTGCTGCTGTGCTGAGCCAGGACCAGCTGCCGTGTCCAGGAGAGAATGGTGGGAGCCAGGGTCTGGCAGTAAACCTCGTGGAGGGTTTAGATACTGACCATAGGCTAAACCCTCAGTGATTTGATCCATTTCCCACACAGCAAGGAGGAAAGCAGCACTCTGGATCTCAGCTGAGAAGCTGAGGGAGGGTAAAGCATCTTTGAACAGCATCTTTCTAAACCCTACCCATGGAAACACACCGCTTGTAGCATTAAATATGGCTGTGACAGCAAAACACCTTGTTTAAATATCTGACGTGCTGGGACTCTGCCTGTTGCCTCACAAACAGGCTTGGCACACCCTGTCTCCTCGTCCCCTGTCACCATCCATGGGTGGTTCCTGTCACACCTCCAGCTGAGGTGGGGCTGGGCAGGGGCTGCTCCCTGGCTGTGTCCCTCTCCCCTCTCCCTCCATACAGGTCTGTAACAGCCTGGGTCTTACAAGGGATGTTAAAGGGGATTTTAAGTGGTTAAAGGAGATGCTTTTCCACAGGTGCCATGGGACATTGGCCTCATCCATCACCACCACAGACTGGTAGGGTCAATTTTGCACCAGCCGCTTCACTACTCTCCCTTAGGCTTTCCTAGTGTAAATCAGAAGGACACAGAGTATCCTTCCTTTGATTCAAAGCACAGAGGGGATTTTTTTGGGGTGGGACACACCAGGCAGAGCACTGTTTTTTCCATCAAACCACCCTAGACATTAAATGCTTCCCACCAGCACTAAGCAGCCCCCTGCCATTGCCCCCCTGGGGGACATCTTCATGTGCCTTCACCAAGAGAGGCTCCCCATGCTGTCCTTCCCCTCCAAATCCCCTTTCCCACCACAGCTAAGGCAGCAAACATCTGGCTCACCATCACGGGGATGTGTATTATGGATAGACCCACTTTGGGCCACCTTTTCCCTTAGGCTGTGGTCCCTAGGCCAGCTAGAAACCATTCCAGCCTGCTCTGATGCCTTCCCTGGGGAACTCGTTCTGAGATTAGAGGCTGAGCGTGGGATGTTTCCTTGTGGCTACTTCATGTTTTACTACAGAGCAATAAATATAAGATTTGACATTTCCAGCACTTGGCCAGGGCAAACTGGTGCAAAACCAGTGAAGATTCCCTCCTGGTACAAAGCAAAGTTTCCAGCCTTGCTAAGTGAGCTTTTATTCACACATCCCTCTTATTCACACCGTGTGTGCCGGTACCTCCGAGGGAGGCTCCTGCTCAGGGATGGGCGCTGACGCACACCAGCACCCTGCCAACAGGAACTGGAAGTCCCAAGCCAGGCAGGAACGGGCAAGAAGGGCCTGTGTGGGGGCTGTGCTGAGCTATGCAGCAGCTTATCCCCCACGGAGCAGCCTTCCTGCACCACTGTCAGCTGGGATGATCTATTTCCTCCTATCGATCAGCAGTTATAGAAAATAAATACATGCAGATATTGCCATAGCTCTGTATAGTCCTCAGTCCCTACAGCTGTGGGGAACAGGCTCTGATTTGAGGGGAGGGGGGGCTGCACTGCTGCTCTGTAGGGTTGGGGCAATGTTTTTCAGGGTGCACCTCCACATGCTCACACCAGGATCCTCCTGGGATGCTGGGGAGAGTAAAGCTCTTTAGAAACAAGTAAACCCCTTGACCTTACTACTAGAGCTGGAAATAACTTTCTAATCACTTTTCCTTGATCCAAAAAAATGAAGATTTGATGAGAAGCATCTGACAACTCTTCTTTTCTTCTTCCTTTTGATTTAGGGCTTTGCATCACAAAAGTTGGAAAACTTCCAGCTTGTTAATTTTTTTTTTTCTCCTCTTCCCCCTTCTATAAAAACTCTGAAGCAATGGAAGAGTGTCAAAGCAAATATTCTTGGCAATTTTTCTAGGACCACAACCTCTTTCAGGACCAAGACCTCCTGAGCTTCTTGCAGCCCCCTGTGTCCCTGCTGCCTGCAGCAGAACACCCCGGTGTTCCCCCGGTGATGGCTGATGTATGGCCCACACTGTCACTTGTCACGAGCTACATCTTAAAGAGAGCTTGTGGCAACTTCTAGAGGCACTCCCTACCCTGGGGATGGCAGTGGGGTCGCTTCTGCAGTGGTGTCCTCATCCATAATAGCTCGAGAGGCCAAAGGAGGGATGTGAGATGGGGGTGGGGGGTGCTCAGGTAAGCTGCAAAAGCCTCCCTCTACTGCCCTTGGGGCTGACAGTGACAGCAGCAACATCCTCAGCCTAACATCGGAGTTATGCCGAGGTCCCACTTGCTTCCATGCCGACGGCATCTCCAGAGCCAAGAGCTCCACCACTAATCAGGCTGAGTTCAATAATTAAGATGTTAGCTAATTGTTAGGGACATTAGCATTGATTTGTGCCCTTTCATGCTGCAGGAGCAGATCTTGAGATACAGAAACTGGGAAGCATGCACTGGGGAGAGGGGCAGTGGTATTTGCCAGGTGCCGTTGGGAAGCACAGGAATATTCCAGATGGACTCGTGAACGACCCCTGTGCATGCTGGGCTGAAGCCCAGAGCCAAAGCAAACCCCACTGTCTGTGGCAGGTACACGATACCAGCTGGTGGCAGAGCTGTGGGATGTGCCCAGACACCGGGGCACAGTGGGAGCAAAGGTGCCTCTGTGTGCCAGAGCGATGGGGAGGGGTCTCGAGCTCCCTGGGGATGCCTTAGTGGGAAGGAACATCAAACTTAGTGACTGAGTCACCTTCTCATTAAACATGGAAAAGCTTTATCAAATTAAGGCCACTTAAAAGAGCCTGGGCAAAGGCTAAGTGCAGTTTAGCGTCTGAAGTGGATTGACTCAGCTGAGCCACATCTATCTATGAATTCATGCAGGCGCCCAGGCCACCTCTTGCTCTGCCGCCTGCACACCTCGGCACAGACATCCCAAAGGGCTCAATTTTTGCAGGATGCTCCCATTGCTCCAGAGCCAACAGTCTCTCCTGGCTTGGTGGAACCCACCTCCCCTACAGCCAGCCCTGCCTCTCCCACTGTCTCCTCTGCCCCCTGCTCCGGCTCGATTACGGCTTGCAAAGAGCTGCAGCATCTCCGGGCTTGTACCCGCACGCTCCCAGGGAAGCGCCAGGGCCTCATTGATCTGCCGGGGTCATTAGGAGAGCGAAGCAGGCACCGCCGGAGCGACAGCAGCGCGGTAATCGCTGGCAAAGCGGGCACGGCGGGGTGCTGGCAGCCACCTGGCAGCCGGCCTCGGAGACACGGCGGGGACAGCCACCTCGGAGCCTCCGGTCCTGCCGGAGCCAAGAGGCTGCAGATCACAGCCGCGGCTGGGAACAGATTCACGCTGGGCTCCCGCACCCTCTGTAGCTGTTCAGTCGCTATAGCCGAGGGACTCCAAGTCACTGCCCTCCTCTCTGCTCCTGAGACTGGTTAGAAAACCTGTAGGACTCGATGCCTTGGACTCCTTTTATTAGCTTTTCTTCACATCCTCAAGAGCGAGACACTTGAAGATGAGAGTAAAGGAAAATAGCAGAAAATCCCAGGACTCAGGGAGCCAAGGATTTGCATAAGACATCAAATGAGTTGAAGCCCGGGCCGCTGTCAGGGGAGATGGCAGCTGCGTGCAGCGAGTCGCACCAGTGCCATGTGTTCTGCCCTCTGGCTTTGCACACCCGAGACTTTCACACCTACAGGCAAAAAGCCTCTTAAATAAAGAAATGTGCAAAATACAATTTCCTCCCCCAGCACAGTGATGGCAATAGCAGCTCCGGCATCCCCACCTTGCGCTGAGCTCTCAGACCAAAGAATCCCTGCAGGTGGACCTTTGGGACTAGGGAAGAGCATCCCTACACACCAGGGGATGGGGAATAAGAGCAGCCCTGTGCACAAGGGGCCCGGGAAAGAGAGCAGCCCTGCAGCCTCCTCCCCAGGGAGGATGGCTCCTTTCCCCTAACAGATCCTGCATGCCCAGTAGCATCCTCGTGCAGGAGCTGGGGGCAGTGCAAGGTGAGGAACACTGCTTCCCTTCCCTGCCTTCGCACGAGTGACAAGTGTCACGGACAAGCAGCGATGCACAAGTGTAGCTCAGCATTAGCGGTGCAGGATAAATAAGGTGGTGGGTGGCTGGTGTTGGGCAGAGAGAGGGAGCCCTCCTCTGGGGTGTCAGAGCGTGGCCACTCCCCTTTCCAGCATCCTACTGCTCCCCAGGTCTCCAAAGTGTCACCGAACGGCTACCAAAGACAGCTCCGCTTCGGAAAAAGTGCAGGGGCCTCCTTGCAACATCTCCGGGCTGGCAGGGACCCTCCTGGCTGCTGACAGAGAGGGGACACTGACATCTGCCGGCAGGTCCCACCCGGCCCCGCAGCGCCCAGGCTCAGCGTGCCCGGCCCCGGGACCACAGCGGGGCCACCCTGGGAC